AATAATTAATTTTTTGTACTATTAAAATATATGATATTATATATATTTATTCATTTATTTAATAACATATAAAAATTATATTAAAAAATTACACAAAAATTATCTCCATATCATATTGAAGAATTTTCAAAATAGTTTTATATATCATTAAATAATTAATTTTTTGTACTATTAAAATATATGATATTATATGCATTTATTCATTTATTAAATAATATATAAAAATTATATTAAAAAATTACACCAAAATTATCTCCATATCATGTTGAAGAATTTTGAAAATAGTTTCAAGATTTGGGTTCGAATTACAAAAAGTTGTTTGAAGCAATTGCATAGATGCATTTGAGAAAATATAACTTTGGATTAAATCATATAATTATAATTTGAGCCATTTACGTAAAATTAGAATCCGAAGAGTTATGATTTTGGTTCGAGTCACATATATATGGTTCGAATCATTTACGTTAGAAATAAGAGATAAAATTCTAATAAAATTCTTAAGGAAGAGTGGATAACTCTAGAAGGCAAGGAAACACGTGAGTTGGAATTCAAATCAAATCAAATGACTTTTGGAAGAGTTTTCAACGAATAAAATTGAAAAGGAGCATCTGTTTCCAACAAATATCTTGCGTCTCTAAATATGGAGTTATCTCTTTTTCTTCTTACACTTTTGAACATAGAACCAAGCCCCTATTATTATCTAAATAAAACAACCCCTTTTATATTGCGATTGTTGCAAAAATCCTTGTACAAAAACTATTGTTTTCTTGCTTTCAAAAGGATGGTTTAGTGATTGATTTTGCTAGTGCAAAGGCTAGATCAATTGTATTATATGAGTATTTTAGGTTACCCTTTTTGCATACCAGATCTAATGGGGCAAAATTAGTATAAAAGAAAGTGACATTTGCAGCACGCCTTGAAGTCATTGATTTATTTTCTAACCCCCAATCTCCAACATATCATTCCTCGCTTGTTAATATGTCTAATAGACCAATATAAATTAGTTAGCTTCAAAGGGACTGGGTGCGGAGGTGGCACAGAAATGCTTTGCTTTCGCTATACTTTCATATTTGACTTTGATATTTGCTTAATGAAGATTTTATCTTTTCATAAAATAAAATAAAACAAAACAGGTGAACTAATATGAGGGACGAAATCAGGATGGGATTTGGTTAAGTTATATACTAGAATATATATTAAGAATATACAATTTTCTCATACTTTAGCGGTTTAGCCCTTTTTCTTTTGATTTTCAGATAAGGTCATGTTTTGTTACTGGTATCAAGTATTCTTTTATCAAATTATAAAATAAGTTAAATTTGATATATTTATTTAAGAAGTTAGGAATAGTTGAGCACGTTGATCATTTTCTCTAAAATTAAAAGATTAATGAAGAATGTATATTATTTTTATTTTTTAAATAATAGTATTCCTAGATTCTTTACTAATATAAAGAAAAATTAGACATAATTAAAACTTAATTATTCTTAACTTCTATAAAAGTTTAGTAATTTTATCTTATTTTTATAATTTGACAAAAGAATATATTATTATTACAACAAAATAAAAAAGTTTTACGATATATTTAATTTGTGAGAATAGGAGGAGAACAATGAAAATTCATCTATTTTATTAACAAAAA